GGACATTGGTGGATAAAGAATTTTACTGTCGAATGGTACTTCCCCGCTGCCCCGGTTCAGAAAGTGGGTTTGGTTAAGGTCCCCACTTTGACTCTTGAATCAAAAGTCTAACCCATAAGGCAGTAGGAGGATGTAGGGTCTTGTTCGGGGACCCTGCCCATAGCCTCTCACTTAGAAAGCTGATCTGCGAGGAAGCGGACAGGAGGGTTTTGTGCGGACCTGTCCCGGGTATGACGACTGAGTAGGCTGTCCTGCTCATCTACAGGGGTCCAAAGTAATGGAACTGGATATTTACCTGCTTAGTGTTAGCAGGCTTTTCAATCCTGGTAGTCCAGATTATGTGGATTGTCATTGGCCTCAGTAAATAACAAGTGAAGAAATGATGCCCGCTACCCTGGTTGGCGAATTCGCTGCATAACTTAGCCCTTTCACCACAAAGAAGAACAAGAGCTCCCTGCTACTGAGAGCTTGGCCGTCCGGTGGCCTTTTCCAGTCCATATTGGACGTTCCGAAATCATCCATAGTAACTTATCTTGAACTGCAAGTTGATACCTGAGATTGTCCAGTCCAGCCGGTGTTTGTGGACTCCGATAAAAGACAGTCTGATGTGGCTATTTGACGTGCAATCGCTCCTAATAACTCATCACTAGTGCTGTTATTGGGTGAGTGGTGGCTGCTCAGAGTTGACTTCACATATAACGTCACACCACGTTTACATATGTTTCAGTGGTGGCCCGGCAGTACAACCTCTACCATGTCCCAGTTAGATCAGCTCAGCTAACAGATTCCAACTCCCAGATCGCCTCGCTTTTCCAACTTGCAGTGGATGGCTGGCCGCCTCGATGGTCTTGATGATCGGGTTGCGTACCGCCCCTCCCCTTTACACAAGAATCCCGAATGTAGTTTGGTAGCCCCAGCATTCAGTCTGTTTTAGTGGTACCGCTGTATGTCGCTGCTTCTCACGTTACTGGGGGTGCCAGATCCCGGTGGATGATCCGTTGTTTGCTTCCAGACCTATGTTACCGTGAAAGCCGGAGTGATAATTGCTCGGCGGACCCAAAAACCACCTGCAACGCAAGTTGTGCCATCTATCTTGCCAATACGAATGACCCTTAATACTTAGAACGCCGTCTCTCCTACATCAAACGGCCTGTCAACCATCGGATGAAATCCAGTCTTAGGAGGTCTGCTCTTCCAAATCAGGCAAACGCAACACCATAATGTTTCGGCCAGAAGGTTTCTTGCCCTTGCATGTCGTGGCTGGGTCAATTCCCCCACGAATTTTAATACACCCAACTGTCTTTTCACCGACCGCCGTATCTCCTGAATTTTTCGGTACGTTCCTCAGCTGCTTATTTTGTTTCTGTTTTTTCCTCGTATCCGACGGAGACTTCCTCGTGTCCAACCGCGGATCAGTCTCTACCATTATGTGCACATGGAATGGACTTGTAGTCAGGTCTTAATTTAGGTACGGTACTCGCCCCCTTATCGTTGGTCAATATTGATCGCTACTCAGTCTCGTTATCTACTGTTTTCAGTTGCCTTTCCTCCTTTGACTGTGCTAGTTACCAATGCGATCGACAACGGTTTTAGCGAAAAGTGATATCTTCCTGCGCACGATGCTCTTTGCTAGCCCACTATCTGTGATACACAGCGAAAGGTTCGAGCACGGATTCTCAACAACCTAATTGTAACACTGAAATCACAATGAATGCTGATAATGCAAGTAGATGCAATAACGTTGACATTAGTCAAACAGTTTAGCAAAGCCTAGGTGTGCACTGTCGAGTTCATTTGGAACAATAGCTACCAATCGAAGTTGTGCTTCGAAGATTTGAGACAGGCCAGTAAGCCGTAGTTGGTTGTAATCTCTTCGGAAACAACCTTGCCATTAACGTGGTAGTGCTCGCGTACTCATAACTTCCTCTGTTCAACCTGTACTCACATTCTAAGTGCACGGAACCTCCCTCAAGGTATTTTTTGCCAAATATTTGGGGGGGGGGGCTTATTATCCCAGGGGATTCATCGACACCAACCCCAGCGAACAACACCAGTGACTCACTGCCATGCAGCCATATCAGTTTATTTGAATAAAGCCTAAGGATGGAAATAAAAACGAGACGGGGGATTCCTGGAGCTGGTCTATCACAAGCATCTCAGCTAGCTCAATTATTCCCTGCAGTCAGTCAACACTGTACGAGTAACGAGCATGTGGGGAAGCGTGGTAAGATGTGATATGAGCTATGGTAATGGTTTTCAAAGCTGTCTGCCAGCTTTCCTGACATCAGCAGGCAACGACAACGTCGGCGCACGCAAATCCCTATGACGCTAAATGACGGAGAGTCCAATGTAGGACCAAAAACTCTGGTGGACAATGAGAGCTCTGGATGTTGGAGAAACCGTGTTGTCTACCACTGAATACGATCAATTGACCAAAATAAGGTCAATGTCAATGAAACGTTAAGTGAAAATAATGGCTTAATGATTCCTTCGCAGATGTACTAAACAATTTGGAGCTTGGTCGGTTTTCAACGACGCAATCCCTGAAGACACTGCCCGTGAGAAGAGATAAAGCACGAAATAACCCTGCCGAAAGGACACCAGGATCAGATGGTTGGTAGCGTGACCTTTTCCATGAAGTTACATAATCTGTGGCCACCCACCCAACAAAAGTTTTGAATTAAGAGAAAATGGTGGGGCATATTCATGTGATGAAGTAATCCTCTGTCTTTTCTACTGTGGGTTTTGATCTAGTGAGCGTCGATTGGACAACCAAGGCCTACTGATTTTAGCCGGTGGAAATAGTAGAGGCTAATGTTGCTAGAGTCGCTACTGAATATCCAGTTAAAAAGCTGCAGGGTGAATGCATCAACTGGCTCCTGCAGCATACACACCCAGGCATCGGGGGATATCGCTTTGCCATGAGCTTTTGAAAAATGCGTTTTTCGTTTCTTGGCTGTGATGCCTCTGTTCATACGGGGCTTGTTTAGCTCTCAAGCTACATGTGCAAGTCGATTGTAACTTTTTAATCTGACTCCAGTTGATGAAAAATGTATTTCTTCTTCACCTTGATGGAGGTGTATGTACCATGACAACGAATAGGTGTTTCTAGTGCCTTTGGCGTTCGTTGCTTCATCTGGTAGAATGTGTATTTTCTGTCCAACTAACTCAACCCAATCTTCCGTTGGCTAAATAGTCACTGACGATTAGGCCAGTTGTTTGTCTACAAATTCGTGCGGACTACAGTTGGAGCGAATCAACATCTATTTTGTGGTCTTCATCCGAATGTGCTATGTGCTAGCTATATATAGGCACAGTAAGGTCAATAGTTTAGGCATCGAAATATTCAGGATATCGTTAACAATGTCACAACTTGGGTCGGTAATATATACTGTGCAATATTGCAATGGATTAAATTGACTTCACTGGAACAAACCCAATAGGAACGACTTATCGCCAGTCATCACGCATGTTTCCTTAACTAGTAGGAACCTAACGAAATACATTCATTTATTGACTAATTTGGCTTTTTCGAGAGACTCACCTGGAACCCGACTGAATCTCTCGTTTGTGATGTTTCCAGCATCCTTATGAGTAGTACATTACAAATATACGTGTATCGCGATATCTCGAATATCGTAGCGACTAAAATATGGGGGGTCTGGTGCAGCACATTCAGTCGCCTGGAAACATCACACACGAGGGATTCAGCTGGGTTCCAGGTGAGTCTCTCGGAAAACCAAATTAGTTTGCAAATGAGTGTATTTCGCTAATTTCGTGCAATTCGGTTTCAAGTAGAACATAAGGTTGACGGAAACTCGGGGACTGCGCATACCTGATGAGCCCCAAGAATGGCGAAACTGGTCGTGGACTGTCGAGGAGTTTCCAGCAACCTTATGAGTAGTGCATTACAAATATAGTAGAAATGTATTTCCAGGTGAGAATGAGATTTGTTGAAGATGTTAAACAAGAAGTTCCAAAGGGAAATAATCGTTGAGAATCCCTGTATTTAGCGAATGGAAACCGTCTGTTGGAGATTCAGATGGTTATTGTGCATAATACTGGAGTGTTTGTACGTATTTGTACAAAATCTGAGCACAATTATCGTACAGTCATATGATTGATGTTGATAGGGAGCCTAGAAGTTTATCCGACACTCATGCACAATGACCCATTCAAGAACTGAACTTTCAGCTGAGAATGATAGCACGCCTGTGCTTACGTGTACTCTCAAGTGGAGGCTTCTTTCTTGGCTAGATTACTGTACGATCACCGTGAACTGGAAAGTTTCCTCAGTGTTTGACGTTTGGCGGATGGACCTCTTGGAATTTTCCAAACATGAGAATGAATACGGGGGCAGTCCCCTTCAATTTTTCAGGAGAATAGACAGAATGCCTTAGCCAAAGTCAGCCACGGGTAATCTCGTTTCCAAAACAGTTATCTTCAAGTCGTATGCCATTCCTATCCGTGATAACCACCTCTCAGCTGTGGAATGAGGATCTTTCGTTGACTTCTTTTTGAACGGTTTAGAAGTGCAGATCACTCAAGACTCCTGGTGAAGTAAATTATTCAGTAATCCTCTGGTCTTAAATCAAGTAACCGCTTGATATTCTGTAGTAAGGCGAGTGGACTAGTAAACTGTGCACGCCGACCTGTCAAACATCATCATCATCATCATCAACGACAGCATGACATCAGTGCTCAACACCAATGCTTCACTGCCGTACAGCCATGACTTATTTGAAAGCCTTATTGTAAAGAAAAGAATAAAGGTGGATGGGGGAGGGGCACCTGTCAAACAACGAACCTCATGTGTGACTTGCCTTCAACGTCGTTTTAAGTATGAGTTTGAGCATGTGTGTTTCATATGTCCAGTTCTATCGCTCCTTAAATGCGCCTAATTTGTGTGGTTACTTTAGCACTGGTCATTTTTTTGATACTACACATTGACATGCACTTCATCGCGTGGACAAATAGCATCTGCTTGTTCCCCTCTCCAGATAAACACGATTGGAACGTTCAATATGATCAGGTTGGCGGCCACGGCGATGGCAGAGAATGAACCGGACTGTGATAACCTCCGAGGTGTTATCATAAACACAACTAGTGTGGCTGCATTCGAGGGCCAAGTCGGGCAGGCTGCCTACGCAGCAAGCAAGGCAGCTGTTGCAGGTATGACTTTGCCGATTGCTCGTGATTTGGCGCGTGAGGGAATTCGCGTGATGGCAATAGCACCGGGTGAGTAACTTGCTGATATCTGGTACGCTTCCCAGAAAAACTCTAACAACAATAGCTGGATTTATTGCTTGGCCAAGCTTTTATGGAGCGTGACTTCTCAATTGATCCCAAGCTTGCGCCGAATAATCTCGCAGCTGTTTGAGCGTTACCTAGCTTGTTTTCCTCGTAAACCTCTAGAGACATTTTGACTTCCTTTGTTTCAGATCCTGAGCTTATTGTCAGATCCAGGGCCTTAAATCCCCTAAATCATCCATGACATTTTGAACCGCTTGTTTTTTAAACCAACCCTGTGTACATTTCAATTCGGAGTTTCACACCCCGATAGCAGCTTGTGTCAACGAACCACACTCACGCCTGGTGTTCCATGTAGTTTGTTCGTTGTCGCTTAGGTTGAGCGTTTGGATAACAGACCGTTGAGCTTGAAAAATCATGTTCGCTGGCTCATTGTCAGATTTTATTTGTTTATTTGACTGTTTTAACCAGCCAACTGCATGCCGTCAGGTATTAACTGTATCCCGATTTGGCATAGTCAGGTCTCTCGGTTCTTCCAACTTTTCAGGTGTCCTTACAAAAATCCGTAGCCAGCCCAGTCGCACTGTCGTTTCAGCACACCTGTTGGATTGTTAATAGTATGGGATTTCGGAATGCCCGCCGAGATATAGTCCTGAAAATGATACCATTCTCTGCTGAAAGGTGTAGAATCATCAAACGGTTTTCTCATTCTTGTTGTTGATCATCAGCTGTGCTAATCTAACCGATCCAGGGCGATCCGAATCAGCGATTTCCTATTTAGCAGTTAAATACTCTACCATTCTGCCATGAGCGGTTGAACAGAAGTGTTCTAGTTGGTCTCATCCATCCAGCAGTATGATACCTGATAGCACGATATACTGCATCCCATTCGATCGGCCTTCACTCTAATGTTCTAAATCGCCGGGACGTACACGATGCCACTAATAGCCCTCAGAACTTCATTCACATTCCAACAAAAACGCGATGTTTCCTTACGGTCTATGTAGAATCCTACTGAATAAATGTTAACCTATTGCCTGTTCGTTGATATATACATGGTTTGCTTCCAGAGCCTTCTCCGCGAGTCGCTTGACTAAGTTTTTGCGTACTACATCTTTCTGGAATTCTCTAGATCATGACGAATGTGTAGTTGGCAACTGTATCTCTGGTAGCTTCAAGCTGGTGGCTAGACCGAAGCACTGTAGTCTGATGGGATGGAAAACCTTGAAAAATAAGGACAATAATGTGAGACACATCAGTGTGTTTTGTTCAGTTGCTTTACGGTTAATAAGTTTAAGGAACCTTCTCATAATTTTGGCACATGTCGAATCAATGAGTTAGTTACACCGCATTGACGTGACCAAGCTTGGGACTTCCAGGACTGTTGAACGAGTGTGTGGGCGTAAACTGAATCAACTAGTGGCAGCTTTCTAAGGTAGCTTGTACAGTTAACTTGGGGTGACGGACACCGTGAAGAATAGTAGTAGTATCTGCAGCGTGAACAGGATAGTCGCACGTTGGTTATTTGCGGTGAACAGCAAACTTGTCCCATTACTCATTCAATGTTAAAATCCAATTTAGTATATCTGACTAGGGTTTGCGTATCCACCAATAATCTGCCTGAGTTTTTGGTTTAATTCACTAATGTCCACGAGCATCTTGGTTGAGGACGACTGATTTTATGTAGCTCAAGCATACTGTTCGACTGATACCCCTGGACGTTGATTCACTATTCTTTACATCTGTGATCATGGTGTGAAGCAGATGACCTGAAAGTATTCATCACGGCGACCTATGACTCTCCCGACTACGTCAGTTTTAATACTCAATTATTCGATATATACGTCTTTGCTATATCCCCCGTATACTGAATTCCCTTAAAAGTCCTAGTGGCTACGGATACTGAGCTTTTCGACAGTATTCCTTCCATATCTCGCTAGAAGCAATGTGCGAGTTGGAAATAGACATCAAGTGCACAACCGAGATTGAACTACACAGGATGTCTCCTCTGAGTGTTTGTCTTGCCTGCACTCAGCTTGACAGTTCCTTCCTGTCGGCTATCAAGCAGTGTTCAGTCTTTTGTGTCTTTCTCTCCATTGGTATCTATTGTGGTGATATCTATAAGTCAGTGGAATCCTAGTTTAAGTGTATACTTTCCAAGGGCGCCGTACACCGACTTCACTATATACGTACAGATGCTAGCCCACCTGAGCTCAATGTGTATAGTGGTGTTAGATGGGACTGTCTTCCCTTTCATCTAGGCTCTTCAACATTTCTGTTGATATGTTTGTAACTCGGGTGCATGGGTAACTGGTTGATCAGGTGGTCGGTGATCTGCTTGCCTAGCTTGACAGTTAGCGACCTAAGCGTCGTTGTGTGTGATTAAATCAATGTGGACAAAAATCCCTCTGGATACATGGGACTTATGAACCCGAACAGTATAGCTTCACTCTCGAGGGTCTGATAGACCAATGTTATTTATTATAAGTCTGGACGGCTCTTTTGAACTTCTGTCCTCTTAGGCTATCGACTTCCCAGCATTTCCAACGGCAGTTGAGAATGTCCCGCAACTCCGTGTACCGTTTCAGGTCAGAAATGAGGTCACTTCATACAGACATACAAAGGCCTATACCGTTTGCTTGAGATCTGGTTAATATATCCTATATGTATTACAGAGATGTATCACAATGTTTAAAAAGTTCGTTGTCACAGATGAGCCCAGTCTCCATTCATAGGTTGCTTCTTCCGCTGTTCATTAACACCTTGAAGGAACCTGTCTGCCTAGCCGACAGGCCGAAACGACCCTCGTGACTTAGCGAACGTGATCGACAAACTGTGCAAGCTGGATCCAAGGTGCCATTGATGTACGCTCTAGAGTTAACGGACTCGGCATATACACAAAAACATCGAATACAGTGTTTTTTGTTAAGTTATTTTGATATTGTTTGTATGATGGGCCTCATTCAGGCCCGTTGGACCGATTGACTAGATTTCACCACACGTTTATCCTAAGCTCGTACAGATGTGACTTCTTACCCTGTGTGTTTACATACTCGATATGTCATTGGTTACTCCAGTTTATGGGCACTGAGATGGACTGGATCATGTTAATTGTATTTCGGGTCGCATTGTGGTTCAATTTCAGGCCTCTTCCACAGCCAGACCATTATGGGAAAGAAAGGTTACAACAATGATACCCTCGCTTACCTTAGTGACGTCCAGTTGGCCGTATCTCGCCTCGGCCGACCTGAAGAGTTTGCAAATATGGTGCTTCGCTTGATTCAACGGCCTACTCTCAGTGGTACAACAGTCCGACTAGATGCCGGTGGGCGCCTCGTTTACGTTTGAACCAGAAATTCTCGCATACTTTGTGTGACTGTATCAGTGTGCGCATATTTCTTTGAAAATACCCATTTTTCCTTTGGTTGGCACTTTTTGTGTCCCGGTCGTCACTTCCCATGCATTTATTGCGTCTTCTCCAGGCTTTTTCGAGACACCCCTGCTTGCTGGTTTACCGTCTAGTGAGCACTTGGTAAAACTTACAGTCAACCCCCAACGTTTCGGCAAACCTGAGGAGTTCGCTCATCTTGTGGAGACGATCATTCAAAACCACATGCTCAATGGAGAAGTGATCCGGTTGGATGCTGGCGCACGAATGCCTCCTTAGCTCTTCAATAGACCATATCGATCCGCCATTTGTACAAGCTGACAAATTTTCCCCTAGTTAACTGATTTCGACTCTATTGTTTTTATACAAAGCACTTAGGGTGTAGCCGGAAATTTTTGAGTAAAATGTGACTCCTGATACTTAGCTTTTTTAGTGCTATGGGCTCAGGGTATGTTGCCGACCAATAACTTCTCTATTCCACTCCTGCCTTGAATTTTCAGAAGCATTGGATCGAATGCCGTTAGTTCTTAGGAAGAGGTCCAACCGTTTTTGTGTGCGTTCTTTGCTTCTTCTGTTCGAAGTGCTAAAGTGAGGGTGTAGCGTAAGCTGCAAATTTGAGGCTTTTCAGTCAGTATTTTCATAGGGTGGATAAACCGACCTGTTGATAATTTGTTGAAATATTGGTAGCTCGGGTGAGTTTATTGGTTGTTGATCAGGTGGCTGCTGATCTGTTCGCCGAGGCTTGCAAACGTTTCGTCACCATACGAGGAGACATCATCAGTGAGTACCCACCCAACTGCGCACTGATGATGTCTGATCGTATGGTGACGAAACGTTTGCAAGCCTCGGCGAACAGATCAGCAGCCACCTGATCAACAACCAATAAACCGACCTGTTTTTACGAGGCACCTGGCGATAGACTTCACATTTTCATTAACGCTTAAGCAGCAGTATAGTACATTCGAACAGCTAAAGTATTGTCGGAACTTGGATCACTCAGATTTCGGTGAAATATCAGTAAGCTACGTCAATTAAGAGCTTCCAAAAATCCGTATGTGACACCTGGCTGGATTGATTTCCTGTAATGAAAATTCACTACAAAACAACTTTTGGAGGCACTACTCGAGCGAATTAATCAGGAATCCCTATTTGTAAAGTGCTTATTTGATGTGCGGCTGTCTGATGAGCTCCAAGAAGGGCGGAACCTGTCGTAGGCCGTCGAAGAGCCTTCAGAAACTGCGAGTAGTGCTCCATCAGGGAATCTGTGTACTTCGTAATTTTTAGGGGGGAAGGTTGATTGTTAGCCCAAAGCACTTCGCCATATTCGGAGTTCACAAAACCGTATCATGATATACACACCAAGACTCAGACGACACTGACCCATTCGTGCGTGCATTGGCACCCATTGCTCCATAATTCATCGGAACTTTATCCGTTGGAGCAACTACTTACCAAAACTTGCCTTTGTGGAAATGGTCTGTCCTATTTCAAAGTTAGGGAATAGATCTTAGCGATTCAAAATGGACGTCAGTTATACGTCGCACAAAAGCTCATTAGGACTTGAAACTGTCCAAATTTCGGAACTCCAGCAACTTTGGTACAGTGGCGTCAATGTTCGACAGTACACGTCCAATGTTAGGGAGTCCTGTGTGTATGCTACGGAGGAACTCGGAATCAAAAGAATATTGAGCAGGTTGAAAACGAATTGGTTTGTGAGTGAGAATATTTCGGGAAATTCGTAGGAGTTGGCCTCAAGTAGAAAAAAAGTTGACGAAAACTTGAGGTTTGTGCCTACCTGAGGATGAGCTACTGAGGAGCTTCACACTCGTGAATAGTGCTACTTCAAGAAGAGCGGTGGAGTACCCCGTTATTTTAGGCCTCAAACAGCCTCCCGGATGAGCGTACATTAGAGCCTGTTCCACTCAGATGCGAAGCGAATTGAAGCCCTCCTATTTAGTTTCAGCCACCAATCTCGAGACAGTAGTTTGCAATGCGCCATGCTCCACTTGTGAGTCTCCACTTCGATTTCGTCGTGCACGGCAAGTTCACTCCGTATCTGGAAACCGTTGTTGGTATCATTAACAGTACACTTCTTTAAAGGAGATTGGGTTTGCCGATTTCCCGACCAGGTGCTGAACTCTGCCATCTCGTTACAAAAAAATGATAGGAAGTGTAGCTTGTTTTACGGTGTGCGCATTCCAGCACTCGCTGCAATGTAGGGATAATCTAGGGGGTTAGGATGGCCATATTGAGGCCCTCTAACACGTGATCCATTTCAAGATACTTCACTTTCCAACAGGTACCGAGGACATTCCACTGCGTAGTTTGCTTTGACGGCGTGTCACGGTTGCTTTACCTAACTGGATCACGAAGTCCATTTTCTCAGTGGTTCGGAATGTAGAAAACGCAGTCACTCTGACGTCACTGGAACGTATATAATCAATTTTTACCAATCCGAAAAGCACTTTCCCACTTCTCAGTGTTCCCAGTATTTCAAGCGGACTACTAATTGGGTGTCAAGTGATTGATTCAAAATAACTTATACTTGAAGAACGTTGAAGAGTACTAGAAATTTTAGCCTGAAGCAATAAGCAGGACTACCTGAAGTAAATCTAGTCACCGTGCTCAATGCGGCGACCCGTAACTGTGCATCATATTCCCGTCCATGCAACTGGGAGTTCCAAATACCCAATAAACTTTATCCTTTGATGGTTGTACGGAGGCTGAGCATCGTACCCTGCCAACTTCGGAATCGAACCAAAAGCAACTAGTAATATTGCAATTAACTTAACAATTATCTGAAAACGTACAGGGTAAAACATTGCGATTTCTAGAAACAACGATGCCCGTTATACAACTTGAAAAACCAACGGACGATCCCGGTTTCCCTTCTTCAATGCTTGATGGGCGATGGGTCCGTTTTCATGAAATTCTTAGATAATCCTCTCAAAAGCGTGTCGAATGGGATGAAGAGGCTTCTGTAATATGTCACTGTCTGCGGCTCATCACACCTTGGACTGTGCGAATTTTACTTCGTCCAATGAGGCGTATGAGTGCTTCTTGTGGAATTTGAATTCATTTGAGGTTTTCGTGAACTATTTTTTAAATTGTTTATTGTCTTATATTTTATTTTTCCATGAAAATTTCCCGAAAGTTGTAGCGCCCGTAGCCCCGGGCTCCATGATTATCGATACTCGGATTTTTTGGAACCTAGGAGGTGCGAGAAACAAGTTATTGAATGTAATCTTTGAATAACGTTCAAAAGCGTGTCGAATGGGATGAAGAGGCTTCTGTAATATGTCACTGTCTGCGGCTCATCACACCTTGGACTGTGCGAATTTTACTTCGTCCAATGAGGCGTATGAGTGCTTCTTGTGGAATTTGAATTCATTTGAGGTTTTCGTGAACTATTTTTTAAATTGTTTATTGTCTTATATTTTATTTTTTCATGAAAATTTCCCGAAAGTTGTAGCGCCCGTAGCCCCGGGCTCCATGATTATCGATACTCGGATTTTTTGGAACCTAGGAGGTGCGAGAAACAAGTTATTGAATGTAATCTTTGGAATAACGTTACAAATGAGCTTTATTCTACGCTCCAGAACACTATCTAACCAGAGTTTTGTATCTGGCTCGTAAGACAGCCCTTTGCATAAAGGTGAAGTTGATGTTTATTTTATTGACATTGTTTCTATCTGCACGTTATACAAGGCTTACATTTAGGCGCCGCCTTTATTATCACTAAAATCTGTCATTTCTCTGTTTTTGCTCGTGCACGTGACACTTGGAAGAGCACATTACCATCTTACCGAAATAATCAGGTTTACGGTGTCCTCATCTGCGATATTTTTGAGGACTGACAGAAGGCTCACAATTTGTGAAGCATGTGCGACTGCCAGTTAAGCATTATTCGTCTTTTAGGGACAAGGATAAGTTCCTCTACTGGCCACATCATTTCTAATCAAAAGAGTGCCAAAACCAATACCGTGTTGCTCTTTTACTCAACAGACTTATCCATGACTCTTTATTCTTACTGACCGTGAGTGAGACAGGTTACATCTGGCGAGGTGAAACCTAACACCATATTGGTCTGTGCACACAGTTAACTGCCATACGTCCGCTCCAGAGGCAAATCCCACAGTGAGCCTCAAAGAATGAGCACGCAATTATACGACCAATACTGATACTAAGTATAGAACAGGAGCCTCATATGACGACGCATTTTCGGAAATCCGGGCCAAAAAACGCTACGAACACGAGAGTCTTCTTAGAAAATCTTCCGCCTTCAGTCGACATGAAATCACATCCTTGTAAACACAGGGTTTGAATTTTACTGTAACCTGTCACGTACTACGTCATAAGAATGTCTGATGTGTATCGTTTCGAATCCATAAAATCAACATGGCTCATCTATTGCGATCACCAGGAATCTTACAATCTGATCGGTATTCCCATACTCGGTCCATCCGTCAAATATTCCTTATTCTATCGTGAGCTGTCTCTATAACAGTCTGCCGCACTCAATAGGTCCACACAACGAGCTTCTGAGTTCAGGCTCCTTAAAAAATCATCCATTTCTCTCAGAGAGCTCGCGCTTACAGACTCCGCAGCAAGTGTTGTCGGGTAGCTTGCCTGGAAAGGTCATATAGACAATGGGTAAAATACTACATCTAACGTGGAGAAAACTCTAAACATTCATAACTAGCTGTGACAACTCCAGGCCTTCTGCTGCGCTTCAGACAGAAAAATTTTCGTCAAGACCATTAGTTTCAACCATAAACTGATTGTAAAGCAAAGCTGAAGATAAGCATGATGCTTTGGTTCATAACTGATTCGTACCTCAACCAAATGCCGAAACGAAACTGTCCACCACCAGGTCCGAAGCTATCGATCAGAAAAAACTATCAGACTATAAAAAGGCAGGAAGTCTTTGTGTCAATATGGTATCCGTGAGGAAATTAGCAGGAGTTGCCTGATCGTGGTTTCCAAATCCCCTTCATAGACTCAGTATACCCAGAACATGGAGACAGTAAAAATGTTACAACCGCGGAAAGAGATTTCTCAGCGGCGTACCGCGTTCAGATGGTGTTTAGCACGAAAACTCGAACGCATATTCTACTTTTCACTGCGACTTCCAGATTTTGAGCACTTCCAGTTTATTCAAAGATTTAACAGGTCCCAAGAGAAAAATAGCTTTTTCTCAGTTTTTAAGGATCATGTTGTGTATATCGTAAAAAATGACTTGTGAAAACAAAAAACAGTTCAGTCCGGTGAGATTTAAACACTATGGATTGCAGGGTCTCGTTTGAATACTTAGATTCAGATAATTCTGACAAAAGGTGTAGTTTTCAAGGACAACCACTTAAGAAACCATGATTTTAAGTCTAACTGGAAGAATTTAAGGGGAAATCATCGGGTTT